AAATGTCTGATTACAGGCCCATTAGTCTCTGTAATGTGATATATAAAGTTATTTCCAAGTGCCTTGTTAATAGGTTGAGACCCCTTCTGGATGACTTAATTTCTCCGGAGTAAAGTGCCTTCATTCCAGGGAGGATGATCACTGGTAATGCATTGGTGACTTTGGAGTGCCTTCACTATATCAAGCAGGAGAAGGATCCTACAAAGAGCTTATGTGCTTATAAGCTTGACCTGTCAAAGGCATATGATAGGGTGGATTGGGGCTTCTTGAAGCGAGTGATGCAAAAGTTGTGTTTCTCTCAGCGGTGGATTGATTGGATAATGACGTGTGTCACATCGGTGAGATATTCTGTCAAATTAAACGGAACCCTCTTGGATTCATTTGCACCGACGCGTGGTCTTCGGCAGGGTGATCCCCTTTCACCTTTTTTATTCTTGTTTGTGGCGGATGGCTTGTCAGCTATTTTGAAAAGTAGAGTAAGTACGGGAGACATTACCCCAGTTAAGGTGTGCAGAAGAGCTCCGGGCATATCACACTTGCTTTTTGCTGATGATACTTTGCTATTCTTTGAGGCATCTAGAGCTCAAGCGGAGAATGTGAAGGCGACATTGGACTTATATGGTGAGGCCACCGGTCAGAGTCTGAACTATAATAAGTGCTCAATATTTTTTGGTACTGCTTGCCCGCCATGGTACAGGAGCAGGTTAGGGAAGCTCTGAATGTTACGAGCTTGGTGTTCGAGGAGAAGTATCTTGGTCTTCCAACACCAGAGGGACGTATGTCAAAGGGACGCTTTCAGAACCTTCAGGCGAGTCTGACAAAGCGTTTAATTCAGTGGGGTGATGGTTTTCTAGCCCAGCCGGGTAGGGAAGCTCTTATCAAGTCGGTGGCCCAAGCGCTGCCGACGTATATTATGGGTATTTTTAAACTTCCCTACTCAGTATGGGATGATCTTACGAGGATGGTGAGAAATTTCTATTGGGGATCCAAGAAAGGGAAAAGGAAAGTTCATTGGAGGGGTTGGGGTTACTTGTTACATCCCAAAGATAAAGGAGGTGTGGGATTCCGTGATTTCCGGATGTTCAACTGAGCTCTGTTGGCCCGTCAGGCTTGGCGACTTCTTTCCAAACCTGAAAGTTTGTGTGCTCGTGTGCTCAAGGCAAGATACTATCCGCAAGGTAACTTAGAGGATACGGTCTTTACTGGAAACGCATCATCTACTTGGCAAGCTATAAGTCATGGACTTGACCTCTTAAAAAAAGGATTGATATGGAGGGTTGGCAATGGAAGAAGCATCAGGGTCTGGAGAGATAATTGGATTCCCCGACCTTTCTCTTATAAACCAATATCTCAACGGGGAACTTGCCGTATCCAGTTTGTATCAGACCTTCTGAATAATAATGGCTCATGGAACTATGCATTGCTAGCACAATATTTCTGTCCGGCTGATGTTGAAGAAATCTCAAAAATACGGGTGATGTAGACCGGACCTCGTGGCGAGATCCGATCCGTTGTTGCGGCCCGATCTTTCACGGTACTCCACCTCTAGCAGCAATAGCCTCTCGCCCGCGCACGCGATGTACGCGAAGTAGAGGGATTGAACCTTACGGTCCAGCACGAGAGAACCAATCTCGACGACGATACTCACGCACAAAACAATTTCCACGAAGAGAAATCGCAACACAGAGGTTTTCTAAAGCTTCCTCCAAAACTTAGGGATTTTTAGACAGCTTCCCCCAAAACTCGATACGGGTATTTACCCTAAAAACACATCGTGTCTATTCATAAAAATATAACCTCCTTACATGTGACGCACCTTGGCTTTATATATCAGCCGACACCTAACAAAGTTGAAAACCAAATATATTTCTATCCTAGACTTGCACGGCAACACAAAAAATTAAATAAACTTTAAACTGACTTGGACTCTACCGTCCGGATGACTTGCATGCAAGCATGCAATCTTTTACAAGCCAATTTAAACAACATAACGTGAATTAATATGGACTGATGCGCCATACATCATCAAGTGCATCTCTATCCGCAGGTGGGCCCCATCCGACTTCTTTTAAGGTAAGCTAATCACGTATTAACAATCCATTCCATACACGCTCTTTCCATGGTAAGAAGAGGAATATAAAATAATATATATATTTGATCCTCACGTTGCAACTGATCTTGGTTAGCAAACACACAAGATCCATCATGGACTCCTTGATGCCTCCTTGTAAACGTGGCTCACCAAAATAGTTGGAATATTCTTTTCCTTGTTTTTCTTCTAATGCATGAAAGTCTAATGCACAAGAAATTATCATCTCAACCTGAACACGCTTCTCATCTTTCCAAATGCACATGGCCTGTAACGATTCAGCGTGCATGCATGTATCTTTTATGAGCGGTTGCTCGTCTTCGTAACTTAGCGGCGAGCACTTTGACATATATGCAGTGTACTTTTGGACACAACCGGCTTCTGGCGAAACATCGATGAACTTAGTGTCTATACTACAACAGGTCGCATCATTCTCTCCCCCTTTAGTGGAAACCGTCCTCGGTTTCGACTCGATCTCTGCAGCAACTTTTTCATGGGCGGATTGATTGGTGACCACAGAATATTCAGTAGATTCACTTATATTTTTTTTAGCATCTTCCTCTTGTTTCACCTTCTTTTGATGTTCTTTCCTCCAAACAATAAAACGATCCTGACCCATGGGCACAAGGTCGTACTTCTTATCCTTCTTGACGGTATATCTGTTTGTTTTGCGATCATACACAACATCATGCTCATTGTACCATGGCTCGCCCAATAACAAGTGACACGAAATCATCAGTGCCGGAATCACGTCGCACAAAACCTCACAAAAATAATTTTCCAACAAAAACAGTACCTTGGTTTGGTGCATGACAGTGAGCTCTTCCTGACCCCAACGAAACAAGTATGGTTGTGGATGTGGTACCATTGGTAGATTCAGCTTTTCAACCATCTCGATGCTTGCGGCGTTGACCACATTCATGTGATCAATCGTCATGGCACATGATCTCTCCTTCACCACCACACGGATGTGAAAAAGCCCGAACCAACGTCCTTCCTCCTCCAACTGAAATCCATAGCTTAGCTTACTGAATGATGATGCACTCGCCATCTTCCCCATAGTGTCGTGAACAACCTGATGCTCTGAATACCACCTGATATTAAACCGAACCTCGATGGCGAGATCCGATCCGTTGTTGCGGCCCGATCTTTCATGGTACTCCACCTCTAGCAGCAATAGCCTCTCGCCCGCGCACGCGACGTACGCGAAGTAGAGGGATTGAACCTTACGGTCCAGCACGAGAGAACCAATCTCGACGACGATACTCACGCACAAAACAATTTCCACGAAGAGAAATCGCAACACAAAGGTTTTCTAAAGCTTCCTCCAAAACTTAGGGATTTTTAGACAGCTTCCCCCAAAACTCGATACGGGTATTTACACTAAAAACACATCGTGTCTATTCATAAAAATATAACCTCCTTACATGTGACGCACCTTGGCTTTATATATCAGCCGACACCTAACAAAGTTGGAAACCAAATATATTTCTATCCTAGACTTGCACGGCAACACAAAAAATTAAATAAACTTTAAACTGACTTGGACTCTACCGTCCGGATGACTTGCATGCAAGCATGCAATCTTTTACAAGCCAATTTAAACAACATAACGTGAACTAATATGGACTGATGCGCCATACATCATCAAGTGCATCTCTATCCGCAGGTGGGCTCCATCCGACTTCTTTTAAGGTAAGCTAATCACGTATTAACAATCCATTCCATACACGCTCTTTCCATGGTAAGAAGAGGAATATAAAATAATATATATATTTGATCCTCACGTTGCAACTGATCTTGGTTAGCAAACACACAAGATCCATCATGGACTCCTTGATGCCTCCTTGTAAACGTGGCTCACCAAAATAGTTGGAATATTCTTTTCCTTATTTTTCTTCTAATGCATGAAAGTCTAATGCACAAGAAATTATCATCTCAACCTGAACACGCTTCTCATCTTTCCAAATGCACATGGCCTGTAACGATTCAGCGTGCATGCATGTATCTTTTATGAGCGGTTGCTCGTCTTCGTAACTTAGCGGCGAGCACTTTGACATATATGCAGTGTACTTTTGGACACAACCGGCTTCTGGCGAAACATCGACGAACTTAGTGTCTATACTACAACAGGTCGCATCAACGGGCTTCTCCAAGATTGGGCGATGATGTGATTGCTTGGGGTCCTGGTAAGCTTGGTGTCTTCACGGTTAAATCATCGTATATGCTGGCGTTTGAGGAGGCACATAGGGATACATCAGTTTCTTCTAGTACTTTGGCAAATGGAAGTAGACCTTGCTGGCAGTACATATGGAAGAGCGGGGTTCCGCCCACTGTGCGTAATTTTGCATGGCGACTAGCAACCAATGCGCTCCCGACGTGGAATAATAAGAATAGGATAGGCCTAGAGCCATCCAGCAGATGCCCTGTTTGTGGTGTGGAGGAAGAGGACAATTATCACCCCTTTTTAAGATGTCAATTTGGTCGCGATCTGTACCTGGCTATGGCCAAGGTGTGGAATCTGCCGGCAATTGAATCGATTAATCCTAATGGGAAAGAATGGCTTCTTCATGCTCTGGCTCCACTTGGTGAGTTTGATCGTATCATGATGTTGCTAATTTTCTGGAGATCCTAGTACGTCCGTAATGAATTAGTTCACTACAAACCAGCGCCGCCCATGCAAGTGTCAATCAGTTTTCTTCAGAGGTATAGAGAAGAGCTGTTGTGCATTAAGCTGAACCCACATGTAGATTCAGTGAAAGGAAAGTCGATCATTACGCTCGACCGGACCGCCAGACAACCTAGTGTTGCCGCGCCAGAGAAGGAATTAGCTTGGATTCCTCCAGTACTTAATTGGGTTAAACTAAATAGGGACGGCTCCTTTGTATCAAGTTCTAGTGCAGGTGGAGGGATGATTCTGCGACATAATATGGGCTCCATCATTTTTTCGGCTTGCAGGGCACTATGGTCTTGTAGAGATGCTTTGAAGGTGAAGCTGTGTGCGTGCATGGAAAGATTGTCTCTGGCGTTACGGCGATCTGATCTTCCTATAGCCATTGAGATGGACTCGAGCATGGCTGTGTCTTTGATCTCGTGTGGCGACATTGATCGCTCAGTTTATGCTTCCCTAGTGAATGAAATCAGACTTCTTTTAAGTCTTAGGCAGACTTGTATTACTCATGTTTCTAGACTACAAAATAAAGTGAGTGATAGACTAGCTAGCTTTGCTAGAGTTGAAGGTCGGACTATGACTTGGCTAGGGTCTGGTCCAGTAGAGGTTTTGGAAGTAGCTCAAGGTGATTGTAAGGACATTGTGATTGAGTAATACAAGTTCTGTTGCCGCAAAAAAAAGTACCTATTTATTCAGCAAACGGTGGCCAAACGGCTGTTCTCCACAGTCGCCACGCGGACCTCCCAAGCTCGAGAGGAGACCCAGGCCCGTGCGCTGTCGCTCTACCCCCACTCCACTCCCAGGGCGCTCGAACTCACACGCCACACGCACGCTCACGCAAATGTCGCCACACGTTGACCCAGGCAGGCAGGCCGCAGGCGCAACGCGTTCGGAGCCTCGATTTGACTCTGAGCCCCGGGCGGCCTGGGCCAGCGAGGCACCGCAGCGACGGATCGACACACGACGACGACGCGCACCACCTGCTGTCCCTCCCCCCTCAATAATACACGAGCTCGCTCGCCCGCTCGCTCCATTTCCGTCCGGTCCCTCCCGGGCGGGCGATACGATTAACAAACCTGGGTGCGCGGGTCAAAATAGATCTGCCGCCTGCCCGATCGATCCAACATCGAGTGGCTCAGGGCTCGACCGACCACTGATGAGCAAAGCGCACGCATGTCATGCTCCCACCCTCTCTCTCCAGGCGAAGCTTCCGCCCCGATCTTCCGGCGACGTCGGCTGCGTGCGCTATCGTCAGATCGCTTTTACCCGTCCGCGACGAAGCATCGGGGGATATTGACAACGTGCCCGAAGCTTCAAGAAGGGCCTCCTTCCTTCTCAAGGCCAACTCCACCGCGCGACCCCAAACGGACGTCCGGATTGTTCAGATTCTGTCCGTTTGGGTAGGGGTTTGGGGCCGTGTCCGGGCGTGTTTTGGGATGCGGTGGCCGTGCGCGCAGCGCGCGGCCGCATTCATTTGCCCCATCCTGTCCGCGTCCACTAAAAAAACTAATTCAGCCATCGTTCCCGGTTCATCACGCCGGCCTACACATCCATCGCCGGCATCAGCCAGCGGCCGGCAACACAGCCAACCTTCAAAATGAATAGTTTTCCTCGCCGGCAATACAGCCAGCGGCCGGCAACACAGCCGGCCTCCAAAATGAATGTTTTCTCGCCGGCACATTGCCAGCGGCCCCGTCGGGCGGGCGACACCCATGCCAGCCTCAAAAAGAACGGCCACGCCGATCGGATGACCTAGATCAGGCCTTCGGCGTCGAGCATCTCCTTCTGCCTGGCCTCGAACCAGGCCCTCGTCTTGTCGCTCATCTTCAACAAGTCCACGCTCATGATTGCAAGGGCCACCTCCTTCGCTTTGGTGGCGGCATTGGTGGCCTCGATGTCGAGCTGCCTCTGCCTGGCCTTGACGTTGTCGGCCTCGATGTCCAGCTGCCTTTGCCGGGCGGCCTCCTCCATGTCGAGCTGCCTTTGCCGGGCCGCCTCCTCCATGTCGAGCTTCCTCCTCTTGGCCGCCTCCTCCATCTCAAGCTTCTGTCTTTGAAGGTCTAGGTATTGCTTCATTTGCTCGTCCTTGCTTTGCCGCTTCTTCTCGTCCCTCACATCCTTTTGGGACATCATGACATGCAAAGTCTCATGCAAGGCCATGGATGAGGCGTCACGTATGTCGTCCACCTTGGAGTTGGTCTTGCCCCTCGGCCTCTTCAACGCCTCGCCATCCCCACCTCCGGCGAACTTGGTCGTCTTCAGTCCTCTCTTCCTTTGTAGTTCACGGTATTGGTCCTTGAACTTAGGGCACATGTTGATGAGCGTCCAACAATGCGTAAGAGTGAATGGCTTGTCATTGTGCCGGGCCTTGAATGCCTCCAAAGATTGGAATGCCTACACCACATGATCAACAACAATAAGTGAACATGCAAACATATACACGGCCAAAGTCTCATGTCCGTAGCAAGGAAAGGGCTAGAAAGAGGAGATCATACCATGTCCCCAACGCCGAGACCACTCACGGGCCGTGCTTCAACGCTCTCAAATGCGGCGCAATACTTGTTGCACTCTTGTTGGATGAACAACCATCTTTTTTGAATCGAACCGATGCCACGGTTGCTTGTAATTTGGAAGGGCTCAAACATCTTCCTTTCATGGAATGTTTTGTGGACTCTCGTCCAAAAAACAATGCCCTTTTGTTGCGCGCCGGTCCTCGGATCTTGGCTAATCTCCATCCAAGCTTGGCAAATCAACTTGTCCTCATCTTGTGTATATGAACCCGTGCGAATGCTCTTCCTCTTCTTTTGTGCCTCCGCTCTTTGGGTGAGCTCGTCGATGAACAATGGCGCACCACTAATATTAACGTCATTGCTTTCTTCTTCTTCTTCATCACCTTCGACATAGATGTCATCGTCTTCATGCCACGAGTCACCATGGTCGTAGTCAGCACGGTCGTGCCCACCTTCATCGGGGACGTACTCGGCGCGGCCATCCTGACTTTGGGTCTCATCGGGGTCGTAGGCACGACCATGCCCACCGTCGAAGATCACGTCCTCCATGTAGCGGTTGTAGAAGGGGTCGTCGACCGCTGGCGTTGGGGTTGGCATTCCGTCAAACAAGACACGGGGGGCCGGCATGGTGCCCGTGAACGGTGCCCGTGCCTGCTTTCTTAGCATCTCGACGGACGGCCGCCCGCCGCTGCTGGACCCGGGCGTGACGTTGAGGTCGATGACGGCCGCGGGGCGCGGTGTGGACGGCGCGAACAAGCCCACCTCCGGCGACCCCGAGAAACGGGTCTGTCCGTCGTGCCTTGGCGGAGGGAAGCCAGGCAACATGGGCGTGGTGCGCGACGTCGGCGACTGGCAGTGCGTAGGCCGCGCAACCGACGAGCTGGTGCTCACCGGGGCGACGGCCGCTGCAGGGAACCCGGCAGGACGGCCCATGCCAAGCATGAGGATGGCGTGAGCTTAGTTGACGAGGTCCTCCTTCTCGTCGGCAGCGGCCTTGCGCCGCGCGGCCTCCAGCTCGTCGCGCATGGCGGCTCTCTTGGCCGCGGCGGCATTGAGCTTGACGACCGCTCTCCGTTCCCTCCTCTTCGCCGATTCCGCGTCCAACTTGGCGATCTCCTCCGGCGTGCACTTCGACCGTGGTTTCCTTGGCGCCTTCTTCTTCACCTTTGCGGGCGGGTTGACGGCCAGGTCGCCGGGACTCGGCAGGGCGTCGGCCATGGACGGAGGAGAGAGGGGGCGGCGGGAGGGAGGCGGGAGGGTTTGGGGCAAATGGCGCCAAATGGGCGTGGGGGGTTTTGGTTTCTCACACCGACAGGCGGGCCAGGGGAGGACAAGCGCGCGCGTCCCGCCCGTCCGCGCGCTATCCGTTTCACCCCAAAACCAGCGCAAGTTTGGGCCGGGGATGGGTCGAAAGCGGACACAAAGTGGACACAAAGTCCGTTTACGCCCGCACGCTGAGCCGTCTCTTTTGTCCCTTTTATCCCAAATGAACGGGGGCGGACAGGATAGGGTCGCGCGATGGAGTTGGCCTAATGCCACCTGATACCGACAGGACGTATTTCATGTTTTTTCTCAACGTATCAGGGCTGGAACGGACGGCAGTTTGGCAATGCCAGGTGCATGCAGCGTGCAAAAGGTGGTGAGACTATGCGACGACCTCAGGGAATTCTGTTACTACGTACTATAGTATTAGTATTGGCACAAATAAAGAAAGCGAGAGCTTGAATGCCCGATTTCCCTGAGATTGGGATTGGGCTCCAGCCTGCACAGCCTACCCAAACCCACTAACTACGTCGTCCACTGCGATTTATGGGCACAAAAGCGCCATGGAGGAACACACACACTCATGGATGGGTATTACACTAGTATTATCCCTTGCGCCATGCTAGATTGCTGATTTGACCAAGTGGCGCAGAGTGGCGCTACCATACTGGTTGACCCAAATAATAATGGTATCTAGTGTTCATGTGGCCCTTTTGCTCGCTCGCTCGCTCGATGGACAAAATGCGCTCTTTCTGCTTTGCTACGAAACTGCCGGAGCATGTGCGCATTTGATTTGATGACATCCAGGAACTGCACTACTAGGTTTCGTAGTGCATCTGTTCCGGTCATCGGCCCGTTTCAACCAGTCAGGGAGAGGCTCACGGCGCAGGTGACTCCCTTTGCAGCGGAGAGGCAAGGGCCAGATGTATATTTTGGTCACGAGTCGCATTCTTTGCGTGACTTTCTTTACTTGCTATGCGGTACTAAGTTTGCTGAGGACCCGGGCCTATTTAGGCAAGGAGTGTGTTTGCCATTTCAAAAGGACAAAAGAAGAAGAAAAAGAGGAGTGTGTTTGCCCATGTACCTTTCCTTTTCTGTTGTGTAGTATCTTTTAGCTTTAGCTGTTATAGGAGAGCGGGCTTCATTGATGGAATGGAAAGTATGATGCTAAGATATGTGTTTATAAGGGAGGCACAAAATATATTTTTTACGATCTTGTTTTTCAGTGACCTTCATTCTGACCCGCTGTAAGCATATTCATGTCCTAGCAAAAAAGAAAATTAAGCATATTCCTAAAGACTCATAGGAGAGATTATTATTATCATCGTCTTGAGATTTTTCATTATAGGAGGAAACTCCTATAATTATCACCCATGAAGAACATGCCAAGGAGTGATCAAATGGCAGGGGCACGACTCCATGGTTCTCAACTAATCCCTCCGATACATATTACTTATCGCAACTTTAGTACAACTGCGACAAGTAATATGGATTGGAGGGGGTAAGAATTCCTTTTTAATCCAATGGAGGCCTGGGCCATCCAGTTTTACAGGAGATACATACTCTCACACTATAGGAATTTGTCTTTTCTGAATTAGACATTTTTGCTGAATTGCATGATACTTTGGAGCATGTTTCTTATCCTACATTACTTGGAGGTGATTTCAACCTTGTTAGGGAGGAAAGGGGCAAAAGTAATGGTAATGTTAATCCCCATTATGCCTTTTCTTTTTAATGATTGGGTCTATAGGTGGGGCCTCCTTGAGATTTCTATCTCTAATAGGAGTTTCACTTGGTGCACTAACCAAAATTATCACATGTTTCTGGTATTGATAGTGTTCACTTATGTGGACCGGGATATCCATTTTCATCTTTCTTCAC